GCAGCGAGGCGTCCGAACCACGGCCGGCCGGCCGGCGGCGGCATCAGGTCCGGGGACGCCGGCGCCGGCGCCGGACGGCGCGGGTCCTCCGTCAGCGTCCGCCGTCGCGCCGCCCCCGCCGCCTCCGCCCGGACCTACGCCCGACGTCATCGGCGTCTGCTCCTGGTGCGGCCGGCGACGTCCGAGTGTCGAGCGCGGCAGCCTCGTCGGTCGCCTGTGGCGCTTGTTTCTCTGCCACCGTCGTAGCACCCAGTCCCCCAGCCCCTTCCATCTCCCGCGCCGACAGCCTCTCCTCCAGCGCCAGCTTCTCCACCCTGGCCGCCTCCAGCTGCTGCCGCAGCGTCTCCAGCTCCACCTGGTGCGCCTCCTTCAGCGCGTCTACCGTCTGCAGCGAGCTGTCGCCCGCCGCCGCCGCCACATCGCACGGCGCCGTGACGTCAGGCGATGATTGACTCGCAGGTCTTCTTACCGGACGATGCAGAGGACACCAGGAGCTGATTCTCTTGCTTAGAAGCTGCTAGCTCCTCCTCAGTCGTTGTACAGTCTCTGACATGTCAGCAACGGAGGCGGCCGCTAGACGCTGGTCTCTTCTTTGGCTGCCTTTAGCTCCTTCCTCCAGCCGCTGCACAGTCTCGACGTATCAGGAATGCTGGGACAGCCAAGGCTGGTTCTCTTCTCTGGCTGCTTTAGCTCCTCTCCAGCCGCTGCACAGTCTCTGACATATCAGGGGTGGCTGGACAGCCAAGCGCTGGTCTCTTCTCTGGCTGTCTTTAGCTCGTGCTCCAGCCGCTGTACAGTCTCTGACATCAGGAGGCTTGTGACAGCCAGCGCTGGTTCTTCTTGGGCTGCCTTAGCTCTCTCCAGCTGCTGTACATATGCCATCTCAGGGATGCTGCACACCAGGCGCTGGCTCTCTTCTTTGGCCGCCTTTAGCTCCTCCTCCAGCTGCTGCACAGTCTGACATATCAGGGGTGGCTGAGACAGCCAGGCGCTGGTTCTCTTCTTTGGCTGCCTTTAGCTCCTCCTCCAGCCTCTGCACAGTCTCTGCCATATCAGGAATGTCTGGACAGCCAAGCGCTGGTCTCTTCTTGATGCCTTCAGCTCCTCCTCCAGCCGCTGTATAGCCTCTGCATATCAGGTGACTGAGACAGCCAGCGCTGGTTCTCTTCTTTGGCTGCCTTCAGCTCCTCCTCCAGCAGCTGTACAGCCTCTGACATATCAGGGGTGGCTGAGACAGCCAGGCGCTGGTTCTCTTCTTTGGCTGCCTTCAGCTCCTCCTCCAGCCACTGTACAGCCTCTGACATATCAGGAATGGCTGGGACAGCCAGCGCTGGTTTCTTCTTTGGCTGCCTTCAGCTCCTCCTCCAGCCACTGTACAGCCTCTGACATATCAGGGGTGACGGAGACAGCCAGGCGCTGGTTCTCTTCTTGGCTGCCTTCAGCTCCTCCTCCAGCCGATGCACAGCCTCTGACATATCAGGATGACTGGGACAGCCAACGCTGGTTCTCTCTCTTGGCTGCCTTCAGCTCCTCCTCCAGCTGCTGCACAGTCTCTGACATATCAGGAATGGCTGGGCAGCCAAGCGCTGGTTCTCTTCTTTGGCTGCCTTCAGCTCCTCCTCCAGCTGCTGCACAGTCTCTGACATATCAGAATGGCTGGGACAGCCAAGCGCTGGTTCTCTTCTTTAGCTACCTTCAGCTCCTCCTCCAGCCGCTGTACAGCCTCTGACATATCAGGGGACGGAGACAGCCAGGCGCTGGTTCTCTCTTCTTTGGCTGCCTTCAGCTCCTCCTCCAGCCGCTGTACAGCCTCTGACATATCAGGGGTGACGGAGACAGCCAGGCGCTGGTTCTCTTCTTTGGCTGCCTTCAGCTCCTCCTCCAGCGCTGTACAGCCTCTGACATATCAGGGGTGGCTGAGACAGCCAGGCGCTGGTTCTCTTCTTGGCTGCCTTTAGCCCCTCCTCCTGCTGTACAGCCTCTGACATATCAGGGGTGGCTGAGATAGCCAAGCGCTGGTTCTCTTCTTTGGCTGTCTTTAGCTCCTCCTCCAGCCGCTGTACAACCTCTGACATGTCAGTACTGGTTGTAACAGTCATGTGCTGGTTCTCTTGCTTGGCTGCCTTTAGCTCCTCATCCAGCCGCTGTACGGTCTCCAGCAGACGCGCGTGCGTGTCGTCCACCAGCCGCGGCTCGGCTCCGTCCGCTCGCAGCGCGTCATTCTCCTCTTGCAGCAGCAGCACTGCCGCCGCAGCCGCTCCAGCTCCGGCGGCTGCGCGGCCGCGGGTCGGTCTGGCGACACACGGACAGCCGCGGTCACGGCGGTACAGTCGGCCGGCCGGGGCGGGGCCGGCAGCAGGCGGCTGGGGACGCGCGGACAAGGCGGCCGCCGATACCGGCCATCTTCCGAACTAATAGGGCACAGGACGCCCGAGAGATGGCACCACACACGGAAAAGACGTCAGGAGAAACATATGCTATTGGCAGATGCAGAAAGCTGACATCGGAAACGGGGGACAGGCGATACCAACACACTGAATGACACTCCCATTTTAGGCCGTCTGCGACGAACCGCCATACTTTCGCCGTCCGACGACAAACTGCGCCCAGTCCATAGTCCCACCCACCTGATACGTTGTCCCGCCCCTCCGCTCCTCTCGTCTGACCTGCTGTCCTGTCCCGCCCCTCCGCTCCTCTCGTCTGACCTGCTGTCCTGCCCGCCCCTCTGCTTCTCTCGTCTGACCTGTCCTGTCCGTCCTGTCCCTCCGTTTCTCCCGTCTGACCTGCTGTCTTGTCCGTCCCTCCGCTCATCCCGTCTGACCTGCTGTCCTGTCCCGTCCCTCCGCTCCTCCCGTCTGACCTGCTGTCCTGTCCCGTCCCTTCCCTCCTCCCGTCTGACCTGCTGTCCTGTCATCCTCCTCCTCCTCGGTGATGTCGCCCAGCGACACCGGCCGCCCAGCCTCCTCCTCGAGCGACGGCATCGCAGGGTGCAGGTCCGCCCGCCGCCGCTTCCGCTGGCTCACCCCCTGCGGCGTCATCATATCCGGCATGACCTCCGCCACCGTCTTCAACAGCATCTCACTCGTCGTCAGCACCCCGGCCACCACCATGATCCATCAACGCCACCGTTGGTGTTCATCAATGTGAAGGCTCAGTGGCCGCATCATGCTGCGTCGAGGTCCTTACCGGGGCGTGAGCGGGCGCAATGTCCGACCGCTGGACACTGCCTCTCACCGCGACTGCTGCCCACCGAAATTGCGCCATATGGCCGACCAAGCGCCCACACAGTGACACGTCCGTCTGTCCCACGACGCGTCACGCGGCCGGATTGCTGTCCTTCCCACATAGGCCTCACCCGCCTTACGCAGCGAACCGGTCTGTGCCTCGCCTGCCAATCCCCGCCCGCCGCCACAGCGGACCGGCGCCGGCCGCCGGCGTGTCGTCTCCTACCTGTCGATCAGGCGGCGGCGGCGGCGGCGGCCGCGGCGGGCTGGTCTGCGTGCCGGCGTCGGCCGCCAGCGGCCGCGGCGCCGCGTCCATGCTCGTGGCGCGGCGCTTGCGGCAGGTGACGCGGCTGGCCGGCGGCGGCGGCGCCTCGGCCGCCTCCTGCGGCGATGGGCGGAGTCACGACGGCGGCAGGCGTGTGGCCGCTGATGGAAGAGGTCATCCGAGGAGGTCGGAATGTGACGGTCGTGTTCTGCACCTCTTTACCAATCAACCAATACCATACCAATAATTACCAATCAACCTTCACCACTAATCTCTGAAATACACCGCCAGACAAAAATTACATTTCCGATTCATTCTGTTCGTTTTCACTTCCGGTTCATTTATCACCATCCGATTCATCATCCACGTCCCGCCTGCCTCACCGCGAACGGCTGATCATCGTCGGGCAGCTCGGCTGCTCCTCGACAGGTGGCAGCAGCGGCGGCAGCTGGAACGGCGCCAGACTCAGCCGGCCGCGCTGCCGGCCGCACCACGTCATCCGCCGCTTGCTCTTCTGCGCCCTGCGGAGGCACACGCGCGCCGCGGCCGGTCAGAGCGCCGCCCGCCGGGGGGGGGGGGGGGAGGGCGGGGAGGGCGCCGTGCGCTCCGTGAGTGATCGCATCGGCGCAGGGTGACGCGCTCCTTACGCACACTGCAGCCGGCGGTTCATGGGACGCCCAGGGGCAACAGCTATCTGGACTCGCACACCCAGGGCGTGCGAACACCCAGGTCGGCGCTGTCTCGCCATCCTGACCTTCACTCGCACGTGAGAACGGGCAGTACAGACGAGAACACAGTCTATGCATGGTGCACGCACTAGGAGCTCGACCATTCCGACTCTGGGAAGCCCTATGTGTGTGCGAGAGGGGGAGAGGCAGGCAGGAGGCACAGCGGCCGCCTCTCGGCGACGGCCGACGCTCCTTCACACGGCCGACGGCGCCAGCGCCAGCGTACAAAACAGGCACCTTCGTGCTCACATCCAGCTGGGGCAGCACGCCACCGCTTGATCGTTAACTTCGGCCGCGCTCCGAGGGACTCCCCCGAAGGAGTTTATTATATCGAGGGAGTTTTCTTCTATTGGGGCTTTACGTCCGACCAACTGCCAGGCCATTTAGACACGGATGCCTTTATTAGGCGTTATATGGGATGCGGTGGTGGCGTGGCCGGGTTCGAACCCCAGACCGACAGGTCCGCAGCCGCGCGTCCTACCACTGTACCACCACCGCCACAGTCCTCGGAGGGATGATGCCTATAGAGCAGAGGCTAGTGCGTCGCAATGCAGCGCTACAGAGAAATGGCAGAGACGGCCCACGTCACTTGCGGTCGACACCAGACAAAGACACGCAGTTTTTCACAGTCGTAGTCTCGAGCAGCCATCCCCGCGACTGGACTACAGCGTTGACCCCTCCCCGTCCCCCAGACTCACTTGGCCGGCAGCTGCTGCTTGGGCGCCGAGCTCACCACCAGCTGCTCGACCAGCTGGCGCAGCCGGTCCTGCAGCTGGGTGTTCGCTTGCTCTGCTCGGCCAGCGCCTGCTGCATCTCCTCCACCTCGGTGGCGCGGTTGGTCTGCTTCTCGCGCTGCAGCTCCGCGCGCAGTCCGTGGATCTCGCGCTTCAGCCGCTTCAGGTGCGCCGAGTCGGACACCACCTGGCGGCGGACGGCGGCGTCACACCACTGCCAGCCGGGCAGCGGTCACTGCCTGCGGCGCGACGGCCCCAGCGGGACAGATGACACGCGGAGCCGATGACACCTGCACGCGTCATAACTAACGTCTTTCCACGAACTACCACACAGGCCAACCTGTTTAGACTAAATGACGTCCTCCCTGAGAGTTAACTCAAGAGTTAACGAAGAGTTAACCAAGGGTTAAAGAGTTAAGAGTTAACATTTGAGCACGTCCCAGCCCCTGCGTTGGGGAAATCTGGGCCGCGCCATTCTGTCCTAGTCCGACCAGCGACCTCCCCCTCCCCCTCACTTCCGCCCACCGCTCGGCGCGGACCTACCTCGTTGATGTGCGGCTTGTTCTTGATGGTCTTGGCGCGGCTGGCGAACCGTAGCGTGGAGTGGGTCTCCTCCACAGCCGCCGGCGTCACCGTGCAGATGATGGCCGTCTGGCAGGTCAGAGGTCACGGGTCAGATCAGAGGTCACGGGTCAGACAGAGGTCACGGGTCAGATCAGAGGTCACGGGTCAATCAGGGTCACGGGTCAGATCAGGGGTCACGGGTCAGATCAGGGGTCACGAGTCAGATCAGAGAAGTCACGGGTCAGTCCTAAGATCACAGACCAGGTCAGAGGTCACCAGCCGGTAGCGGCGCGTCACACGCGCCGGGGGGGGGGGGGAGGGGAAGCAGAGGGCGGCGGCGCAGGAGACAGTGTGGAAAAAGGGCCGAAGGCGGGCGGTATAGAACTAAAAATGGGGCATGTCAACACTGGGAGAGACGTTAGGCACACAGGGTGGGGATGGAGTGGTACAGTTAGGGCAGAAAAAGGGAAGTAGAGAGGACGGAACATAAATGGCGGCAGGAGAGGCACCTGATGAGGACATCAGAGGAAGAGCACGTAAGACGGTACACACAAAGGCCGTGAAGCAGTACGCAACAGCGCACCCTTTGACACATGACGCACAAAACGCACGCACACACACGCGCGCATATAAAAGACGCACACGGAAGACTCAGTGGGCCCAGGCGGCGCACACTGGGTGAACTCCACGTACGTAACAAATAAACGGGACAATGGACGTCATCACTGCCCCCCCCCACCCCCCGCCCCCACCGCCAGTGCATCCGGCAGACACCGGACGAACAGCAACAGTAGGTCGCAGCCAGCACACGCAGACGACCCGACCAACGAGTGCAGCCCCCCAGCCAGCGACCACAGCCAGGAACAGGGACCTGTCAGCAGTGGATCGCAGGTGCACCTCCGCTCACGCCGCTCAGCCGCCAGTGGCGATCTGTAGCTTCTGAAAGTACGGTCTCCCCCATCCGACCCTTAAACATCCCTTCCCTTCCCACCACCTCCCTTCCTGTGACATATTGTACACCCCAAGCGTCGCTAGAAATCCTTAGCGCCGACAGACAGATGCCTGTTTCCGGGACGTCTTGCCGTCTGAGGTATCCACGGAATTTGCAGGGCTCAGCGCTGCCATCCATTCCTCTCCTTCCCACGCCCCGCCGTAGTCATCACAGACCCCCCTCCCCTCCCTCCCCTCCCACGCCGTCGTCGTCTTTGGGGCCTTAAGACGCACGTACCCTGCTTCTTGCCGCTGTAGGGCGTCGGACACCCTCTCACCTGGAGGAAGGGCGGCCACTGCGGAGAAAGGATCCTGTCACCTACTATCCCCCTCCCCTCCCCCCCCCCCCCCCCTCCGCCCACGCCACCCGCCTCTCTCCACCGAGGCCAACACCGCACCTTGGCGTTGCCCCCGAGCGACGTCTGCAGGATGCGGGTGAGCTTGCTGTTGCGGTAGTTTGATGAAGGGCGCGCCCTCGCTCAGCTTGCTGATGACGTTGCCGAGCTCGAACAGCGACGAGTTGATGGAGCAGCCCTCCCGGAACCTGGCGGCGCCGTCGGCGGCCCGCGCAAGGGGCGCGCGTCAGAACGTGAAGTGGGGACTCGGGGCCCGCCCAGGAGCCCGGGTCCGTACGGTGTATTGCACAGAACCAGGCGGCTCAAGAAGTACGGCTTCCGTGCCAGCAATGCGGGAGGGGCGGGGGTGGGTAACGAGGTGAGTCCACGTAAAGTGCATTCCGCCCTTTTCCACTCTTGCGCGTCGGTCTAGGTATGATGGGTGCGGGTTCGGTTTTGGTTTGATCAGTCAGATTTCAATGACAAAATAAGCACGGAAAATAAAGCAGGGCAAAAACAAGCACGAAAAATCAATCTCGTCTCAACCCGCCCGTAAGACTGCAAGCACGAATTACTATCCAGCCGCCGAAACAGATCGCAGTGAACACTGCCCACAGCCCCACATCCGCCTGCTTCTCAAGATCTGGGTGATATCTGGTGACCATATCTAACCTATGTTGACTTGTGCGACATTCCCAAAACCCTTGGTGATCTTTTGTGGCCTTCAGCGCCCTCGCAATGCCCAGCGTGACCTTTAGTGGCATCGGTGACCTCCAATCATCTGGGTGTTGTGACATGTTACAGTTCAGTGATAGTGATATGGAATCACCGGTGGCCTCCAGAGACCAGGCTGACGTCCATTGATCCGGGTGACTTTCCAGTGACCCAATGACCCTCCAGCGACCCAAATGACTTTCCAGTGACCCGAATGACCTTAGTGACCTGGGTGACCTCTAGTGAACCGGATTATCTCCAGTGACCGGGATGACCTCCGGTGACCCGGATGACCTCCTGTGATCCGGGTGACCTCCAGTGACTCGACGTCCTCACCTCTCGCCAGTGGCGCCTGTCTGCCGGGCGCGCTCCGAGCCGGCCCAGGTCCACCAGGTTCAGGTGCGAGACGACCACAGCGCCCTCCTCACCCTCCTCATCCCTGGTGTACACACAGATGGCAGTGGCGTCAGGGCAGGCTGCCCCGCCGCCGGACACCAGCGGTCGAGCACGTGCGCCCCCGGGCAGGGTCAGCATACGCTGGCAGGGGGACGCGAAGGGGGAGAATGCCGCCAACGACGACTGCCAAAAGCACGTGGCACCATATCGTAGCAGGGAATGTGAACAAAGACGGCCAGTGTTAAGAGGCAGGCCAGCCGCTCGCCAGTCTTCGGGGGCTGGCCAGCGGCGGAGTTCGACCGTCGTGAATTTGAGCCTGTGCCCCCACTTGGGAGTCCGGCGCGCTACACCTCGGCCATTACTACGATATCTCGGCGATGTCCCCTCCCGCAGCAACCCAGATCTCCAAGACGACGCCCCACCTGGCTCTAGTCTCGACGACGGCCACCCACCTGACTCTGGACTCGATGATGATGCGGAAGATGGTGTGGCTGCGCGAGCTGCGGTCGTTCATGTTGGTGACGCCGAAATGGCGCGCCGTCTCGCCACGCCCCATCAGTCCCAGCAGCATCTCTGGCGTGTTGACGCACAGCTCCCGCAGCTCCGACACGTACACCTGACGCACGGGGGAGGGGGAGGGGGGGGGGGCGTTCACGGCCAGCGGCAGCAGTGACGAGTCTTACACCTGATGCAGGGGGGAGGGGGGGGGGGGGGGCACGGCGAGTGGCGAGCGCGCGGTAGCGACGTAGTCGGGTGTGAGGTGTGGAAGTGGAGAGGAGGTGATGCTTTGTTTGGCCGCGCCCCGGCAACGCATGGGAGATCATTCGACATGAACGAGTTTTCACGCGGTATTGCGGCCTACTCAACTCCAGACTTTCATGTGCAACTGGATGTTTGCTGGCCGGCCTCTGGTTTGGATTGGAAAGCTGAAGATCAAGTCATGCATTTACATGACCTGGCAAAACGGTGCAGCAAAGACTGGGGAAAAGCTTTTTGTGACGCTGTCACTTTCTATCCCTCGTCATGATTGGTCAACAACGCACTCAACGCAGGAGACGTCGGTATCCTCAGCGTCCATCTCGTTCCCCACCCCCCGCGGCACCAGAGCAGCCCACCACACCCAACCGGATCCGGTTCCACCGGAAGTGCATCCCGTCCCTGCGGACCTCCCCGTTCCTGTCCTTGCGGACCTCCTCGTCCCTGTCGCCTGTCCCTGCGGACCTCCCCGTCCCCGTCACCTGTCCCTGCGGACCTCTCCGTCCCCGTCACCTGGCCCTGCGGACCTCCCTGTCCCCGTCACCTGTCCCTGCGGACCTATCCGTCCCCGTCACCTGTCCCTGCGGACCTCCCCGTCCCTGTTACCTGTCCCTGCGGACCTCTCCGTCCCGTCACCTGTCCCTGCGGACCTCCCCGGTCCCCGTCACCCTGTCCCTGCGGACCTCTCCGTCCCTGTCACCTGGCCCTGCGGACCTCCCCATCCCTGTTACCTGTCCCTGCGGATCCTCGTGGATGCGCAGCCCCTTTGGTGTTCCAGCACCCTCCGCCAGGAGATCGGCTACCACCTGTCAGCAAGACACAAAACAAAGCTACAAGAGGTGTCCTGTCCACCAGGTGGCGGAACAGATTCCACAGGCGGCCACGACCGCAGGTCGCGCGGCCCAAACAACGAGTCTAGGCTTCAAACCACACGCCCGGGGCTTCCCGAGACGAGCAGAACTTAACGACGAGGAACACGTACCGCTCTTTACTCAACATTCCGCCATATCTCAGGCTCAGCCTCAGCACCCTGCACCAACCACAGTGATTGACGCTGCTGACTTCAGCAGCGCCGTGGTCAGCCGCTCCCCAGCCGTGGTGCGGCAGCTGGGCGGCCACGCACCTCCTTGTAGATCTCCATGTAGCTGACGCGGATGAGGTACTCGCGGTCGGGCGTCTGCTCGACGCAGTCGAACATCTGGTGCACCACGCGCGGGGATGGTGCCCTGGTCCTGCTCGTGGCCAGCATGGTGTGCGTCTTGCCTGGCGGGTGGGGCACGGCGGTCAGATGGAGCAGGGGTGTGGGGCGGGGGTGGGGGGCGTGGATGGTGGCAGGGCGGGCAGACACCGGCGCAGAGGAGCGAACGGAGCAACACGGGGCAGCGCAGGGTCCGGGGGGGCACGGGGAGGGCCAGAAGCGAAGGTCTGACAACCATCAATCACAGGTGGAGGCCAATGTGACCAATCACAGGAGAGGACCAATCTGTCCAATCACAGGCACAGACCAATCTGATTAACCGCAGGCGAAGCGCGACATGCTCACCAGAGGAGGTCTGCCCATAGGCGAATATGGTGGTGTTGAAGCCGGCCATGGCCGAGTAGACCATCTCCTCCACTGTGCCTGTGGCAGTGGGGAGTCACTAATGGTGAACGATCGCCCATCACGGCAACATGTCACGTGGCCTCTGGACATCACGTGATCAAGACGTTGTGGCAATTGGCAAGCAATTGTGGCAAGCAATTAGTCAAGACATTGTGAATAAGCCATTGTAGAAATTGGGATTTCAAAACAGTGGATGGGCAAGTTTTAAAATGAGGTGCTGGTCTCATGTGGTATTATGTTGTTCAGTTGTGTAAGCCCATACATTTTTTAATCCAAAGTTAAACAATTTCAAGTACATCCTTCCCCACAGCCATCAATCTTAAGCCGCATACAACATATTTTGCTGTTAACAGCATGAGCACAGTTGGTAATGTTGCTGAGAAGGCTTCTAGCCAGACAGTAGGAAATTTACATAGCCCTTTTCAAAATCTGGAACAGCGACATGCAAGCACGACATAGATAATTAGGCATATGAAATATGAAGCTGTCAAGACATTCCCAATACATACCATCACACACATTTTATCTGACTGAACATTTAATTCCAAGTAAAACAGTACTTTGGTTAAAATATAATCTTTTAAGACCAAAAAAAGATGCCCCAAACTCATTACAGTACTACTGCTGGCACACTGAGGACAACCAGTCTTCCCTGGAGAACGCTGATGATTTACCTGTATATACATCAGCATTGGTGCAGCCTTCATCATAAACTTTATCAAAGATGTACGGCTGACAGAGCACACTTCCTGTTGCAGGATCTATCTGCACTAGAGACTTCTCTTCATGTGTCTTCCAATGCTTTGTGAGATCATCTGATATTTCACGTTTGATAAGTCCTCGCACACGGACAGACACACTAATGTTGCAATCTGCCATCCTGCAGTGGAGGCGGAAGCTCTGGAGACGGGGGGGAAACCATGAGTTTTGGTATATTTTTCATACATCATCAGAGGAATATCAAATGTTGCCCAGAGTTGTGGAGCAGTTGCTCCCTCAACCAAACAAGGCAGTGGATTGAAGATCAGCGGGCGGAGGGCGGCAGTGAGTGGTAACGAATATGACCAAAGCCATATACAAGACCTCCTCAATAAAAGCTCTAGGGCTACATGTATGAGATCTTGGTGGGGAGGGGAAAAACACCGCAAAGCGATCTTGATGCAGTTGCTGCCGTATACTCAGCACACAAACTGAAGACATCTGCGGCGAACGGAAACTGATACAAAATGATTGACGCTGATGTAACTTCAGTGATATGCATTGGTTCAATCCATACAAAAATCTGAATTATACCCGAAATTCCCACCCACAGTCATACGCGTACTTACCACCGCCGATCCACTATCACGAACGAACTTGTGATTTCAAACTTGGAGTTAATGGCGCTACCAAATTTTTCGCTACCATACAAGGGAAATACTTCACTCTTCCTTCATGTTCCCCGTTTTTTCCGCTGGCGGGAACGGGGGAGCAGGCGGACCAGGAACAGGCAGCAGCGTGGTAAAAGATGAAATGCCGCTTAACAGTCAGGTTCCTTTTCTCTTCATTACTGATTTCCATCCCACCTTGATAGTTAGCACTTGGTGCGTAACGCATAATTGCACCATATCTCACAACTTTCACGAACCTTTAGTGTTTTATTGACCTCAATCAGCCGCAGGCATCTTGTTGGGGTTTCCAGCCACATTACTCTATGAATATCTCAACTTTTCAATTAGCACTTTCTTTCTGGTATGGTGCAATGCGGGAAGCCCGCAGCGTTTGGCGGGACTTGATCTGCATATCGGTCAGAAATCAGCAAACAGGAATCAACAGAAATATCCGAATTCGAAAAAATAAAGAGGCAAAATAGCATTTTAGTCATAACATGCCAGTCCCACATGCCCGTCCCCGCCGACATGGATGCTGAAACAAATGGTACCAACAACTTACGAAACAATGCCATTCAGAAGGCCATAAACGTGTCTAACCTCCAAGGCCACGCAGCACCTTACACCAAAGCTAATGTAATGCAATAGGCGATGCAATAGCAAAGATAATATGAAATGGCAGCTACACACGCCAGCACAAAACATTAAACGACACGCCAGAAGCGCTAGAATTGGGAGCAGCATAAGCGCATGGAATGTCTGCTCTTTTTACGTCAACCAACCGGTTATGTTTCTTGCACAGCATCGGTTCCGGCAGGTGCTCAAGCTACCACAGGCGGTCTGGGATAGTTTGTAGCAGCAAACCGCCTGGGCGACGCAACGCTCGAAGGTATTAAGCTAAGCGGTAAAAGTAAGCCATCTTTCAGATGTAGCTTCCGCCCGTGCCGCTGATACGCACTCCCAAACACCGCAGCCATGGTTCACCCCAAAGTGTACAAAAAGAAAGAAAATATGCAGAATCACATTTGTTTTCGTGGCATATTTGCGCGCAACAAACCCTTCCAGCGATCACTCAACATTGAGGGGACCCGTACGAAATCCGTGGCACACCGAAGCGCATTGGTCAAAAGCTAAAAGGCTGTAAGGCACTTCAGTCCTCATCCGTGCATCTTTGAGCTTCCTTCACACAGAGAGGAATCTCCCACGGGAAAATGGCGTTCGCTTGACTAGAAACCACAAAAAACACGCGGACATGAGCGGGACGCAAACAGGCGAGATTCTGGATCCCGCTGCAGTGTTGCAAACATATTCTGCATATTGTCAACATGTAAAACGCCTGGCCAACCCAACACGGATAACATGACGAACTTTTTCACACACACAGCGCCAGTTTCAAACGGACTATCTGACCAGCGCAGCACCGGTAACACATGGGAAACTTAAGTTGCACAAGACCAGCAACACAAAACTCACCAATGTCCGCATAGATGTTATGCATCACATATCAGCACTGGCAACTGCAAGCCATACGCAGCGTACTGTAGCAGTCAACTGCTGTCATACCACGTTAACTAGTCACTGCTGCATCGCATCGTTTCAACACCTCAGCTGGCCTATAATGGTCAACTAGCATCAGCTGGCATCAACAGGCATCAACTGGCATCCACTGCACTATCCCAGCAACGGACCACTGCCGAGTTCACGCACCAATGACCGGCATCAGACACATCGCGCGCCACCCGGCCGTTGGCAGCAGCTGCCGGCGCGCCCGCTGACCGTGGTCAGCAGTTGTCCCGCACGAACTCCACCACCATCTGATACACCTGGCTCTGCCGCGAGCGCGGCTTGCAGACGTCCAGGTGGTCGGCGTCGGCCAGCACGAGCCGGCCCACGCCGGCGTGCGCCGACTCCGGCTCAACGAACAGCACCTCGCGGCCGAGCAGCCGGCGCCGGCGCGTCTCGGCCACGCTCAGCACCGCCCAGCGGCGGCGCGCCGCCAGCGCCACGAACGCCCTCGCGCAGCCGGAGCAGCTGCGGCGAGTCGCGGCGCAGCGCGTCCAACTCGGCCGACGGCCGCAGCAGCGGCCGCAGCGGCGGCGCCGCGGCGCCAGCGACGAGCCGGCGTTGCGGACACGCGAAGAACAGCACGCCACGCGTGGCCGCCAGCAGCGGGTCCCCCTCCGCAGCGGCGCCGCCGGCTGCCTCCTCCTCCTCAGCCGCCGTCGCCAGCAGCTGCTTTACGAGCAGCCCGCCCATTGAGTGCGTGACCCACACGATGGGCCGATCGCCGAGACCGGCCGCGATCAGCTGGCGGCGCAGCTCGTCGGCGCGCTCGGCCAAGGCGCGGCCACGGCGCGCCGGACAGCGCGGCCGCCACTCGCTCCAGGCCGAATCGTAGTCCACCGACAGCAGGCGGGCGCGCAGCGGCAGCAGGTCTGCTGGCAGCCAGTCGCGCGGCCAGCACTGCGTGTAGCGCTCGGCGGACGAGTCACCCGGAGCGTCGGACGGCTGCGGCGCGGGAGCCTCAGCCTTGGGCGCGGGAGCCTCGGCCCTGGGGCGCGCTGGGCGGGGCGGCCGCCGGCGGCGGCAGGAGCCGCTCGGACAACCGGCACGGCGCCACCGGCGCCAGGGCGGCGCGCGTCTCGTCGTGCTGGCGCCACGTGCGCTCCGTCCCGCCCAGGAGGCCGTGCACAAACACCACGTCGGCGTCCGACGCGGCCTCGGCCGCCAACGTTCTGCGGGTGTAGCAGCAGCACGCCGTCGGCAGCGGCCGCAGTTGGCGCGGCGGCAGCGCCGCGGCGCCGCCGCCGCCAAAGCCCACCCGGCGCCGCGCCGCCGCCAGCCCGCGCGCGCAGCGCCGCCCAGCGACCCCTCGGCAGCGGCGGTGGCGGCGGGTAGCGCGGCCGGCGGGCTCTCCAGCAGGCGCTCCGCCAGCGTGAGGTTGCGCAGCACACGCCAGGCGGGCAGGCAGACGCGCACGTCTTGCTCGCGACTCCAGGCGGCCAGCAGGCCCAGCCAGCCGGCCTGCTGGAGCTGGCGCGCCGACGGTACGAGGCCGGCCAGCCGCGCCGCTAGCCCAATCAGCTCAGCGTCGCCTGGCCTAGCCGCGTGCGCCGCCGCTAGTGCCGGCAGCAGGCCGGCGGCCAGCAGGCGGCGCCGCTGCTCAGGACGCGTCGCCGCCTGCTCCAGCAACGCCGCCGCGCACAGCCGCTCCAGCGCGGCGGCTGGCGCGCGCCGCGGCCGCCACGGCGCCGGCGACTCCGGCTCGCCGCCGTCTGGTGAGACGGGCGTCGGCTCCCAGTCGGCCGGCGGCAGCTCGCTCAGTGCCTGCGCCGTGACGAACGCGGCGCACGGCTCGGGACTCCGCCGTCGGCAGCACTTCGAGCAGCTGGCGCAGTCGCTGCGCCACCGGCGGCGCGTCAGGCGCGGCGCGCGCGCCGGCCGGCGGCAGGAAGAGGGCGCATGTCGCTGTCGCGCCAGCCAGCTAGCAGCAGCGACGTCTTGTGATCCAGCCGTTGCGCTAGCTGGCGGAACTCCGCGTCGTCCAAGTCGCGCAGGCACGCC